TCTATTTTCGATTTGAATTATTTCGTTTTAAAGTAGTAATTTAAACCTTTCTATATATTTTGATCATGTCTGAGTTTAGGTTCATCATTGTGACGCGCTCCTGTTCAAGACCGAGACGCCAGAAAGCGTTTGTTTTCTTTATTTTATAAAAGCACAACGTTTTGTTGATATTGTGAGTGCACACAAATAAAACTAGACCCTTTACAGTTTAGAATGATGTATTACTCGTACCTTTATGAGCAAAAATGACTGCGCATTTTAAGTTGTTTCCACTGTTAGAAAAATGCAAGTGATCGCGCTGGCGTCTCCATGTTCTGCGGAACGTGCTTCAGTTTCCAGTCTCTGCACAAACGATTGGATCTGCGTCTAACAGCGCACATTTATATAGGTTAAACATTTAAACTAACATTTTGATATACTTGAACTGATTTATATATAGATTTTATTTTAGGCAAGTCCTGATGATTTGAGAAGGCTAAATTGATCAAACATAGGCTATAGGCTATGATCAATTCACTGTCTTCCGCTGGCCGTTACTTAAAAAAACAAAACAAAAAAACGTACATTTAACAAACAAAAAATACTCAATGTTTTTCTAAATTTACTTTATAAAAAAATGAAATGAAATATAATCACTTTTCCATTACATACACAACTGAACTACTTTAATAGCTGAAACAGTAGTATAAGCTTTTTTTGGGAAAAGGGGGAAAAAGACGGGCTAGGGCCTATATTTGAGACCCGTGCAGGGCTCTAATCCACTTCATCCAACGCTGTTTTGTTCTCATCTGTGAGCAAAGCTCTTGATATGTATTTTAGGTGTGTAAATGTATAATTGCCTTTTCATAATTTTTTCTGTTTTATTTAAATTTGTAGTTAAAACAACTAAAAATAAATGTATTTTAAAGTTTAGAATTAGACTGCCTTTGCACACAGGCTTACGCTGAAAACAACAAAATGGAACCTCAAGGTTGATCTAGGAAAATGTGTGCAAATGTATAGGGCCCCATTCCTATATTTTGCCTGGGGCCCCCAATTCATTAAATCCGCCCCTGATTACATAACGCCGTTTCCTTTTGGAAACCACATTAAATTTAACCGCGAAAAAAATATAACGAATTAACATGTAAATATGTTAATAACCCTCTCTTAACACCTCAAAAAATGTCAATATTGTAAAATCTTACGTAAATGACATAAGACACTCACTGACGTTATATTAAAAGCACGTCTTCCGTTCAGTAAAAGAGGCCGTTAAGACTATTTCTGAGGCGAAGTCCGCTTATTTTTCAATATAAGCTCTTTTCAGAATATTTCCGCCTTCCATGAAATCTCAAGATACTACCGGACTCGAACAATGAATGATGACTTTACATTTTTAATCTTTACTTACCATAAACCGTCTTTCACTCGCACTCGCTTCCATCTGAAGATGCTGAGTAAATGGCAGCTTCTCACACTGGTGTCGTAGAGATACGTCCGATGTTAACGTGACGTGCGTGCTCTCTTTCACGTCCGCGTTCCCAACCCAGCACCGTGAGATACTATTGGAGCACCGCTGGGTTATTGATCAAGACCAGCTTTCAACTCAAAATTGGGTTAAAACAACCTAACGTCCTTACCCAGCGGTCTCAACCCAGCATTTGGGCTGAAAAAACAACCCAGTGTTTTTTTTTTAGAGTGAATGTACCTACAAGCCACTTTTGTGTTCTTCTGTGCCACCTCTGTAGTACAAATTAATTTTTAATTGCATATGATTGGTTACTTATTTGTCTTATTCTGCTTCTTATTATATTGTTCTAAATAGAAATGGTTAAAAGCTTATAAACATACATTTTTGAATTTGACAGATGAAAATGATGCCATTACAAAGGTAAAAAGAAAATACCCCTGTAAGTCACTTTAAGGAGTCAAATGTCACCTCATATTAGGAAGGCTAACTTTTTATCAGAATTTGATTATTGATCAGAAGGTGCTCCTAAAATTTTTTTAATTAGGAGGACAAGAGCTCCTAAAAAGAAAAGTAAGCATAGAGCCATATGTGTAACAGTATATTAGATCCGTGCATGAGGTCTTAAAGAGAGAGCAGCCTAAATAAACCCCCATTATACAGTGAAGACTAACCAGTGTTATTGTACAGTTGAATAGATTATAGTTAGACCTAACTGAAAAAATGTAAGTACTGTTAATTTAATTTGTATCTGATTATTGTTTTTGTTTGTGCTATTGATTGTCATTAATTTATTTGTTCTTATTTTATTATTTACTATTTACTTGTCTTTTTTAGGTAAAATAAATTCAATTCTGAGTGCACATGATTCTTTGGTGGGGAGGGGAGGGGGCGTGGTCCATGGGAAATAGTCCTGCCACCACAGCTGGAAAAAATCCTAGGAAACACTGCATACATTTAATAAAATTAGAAAAATGCCATTACAAAAGTAAAAAGAAAATGCCCCTGCAAATCACTTTCACAAATCACACAGTCAAATGTCACCTCATATTAGGAAGGCTAATTTTTGATCAGAAGGTGCTCCTAAAATTTTTAAATTAGGAGGACAAGCACTCCTAATCACAAGAAAAAAATGCTCTTAAACTGGGTGTGAGACGGGTATGGCTGTGGAATGGGGTTTGGCTGAGGAAACATTTTCTGTCAAAATATTTTTTTTGCTTTTGTCGCAGTACAGTGTTTATTATCTTAATATTCTTTTTGAATGTCATCATTCAAAGCGTTTCTGTCTTCTTTCATTCAGTTAGGGATAGCTGGCTGTTTTTGTCCATACTAGGAATTTCCTGGAGCGTCCTGAGTTCTATTTCTTCTATAATGTATATGTGGATTTTCTGCGCGAGGGCCCCCTCAGGCATCCAGTGAGAATGAAACATACATTACATGTGTTCATAGCACTAAATAATGGCCAATCCATAAAAAGAATACTACTTTTTTTTTTAAATAGCATTTAAAAATGGCAAAAAAGAAGTAAACTAAAAACTGAGATATTTATTGAACCGTGGGCTAACTGTATTGTTGCACCCATACTGTTTACTCTGAAATACTGTATAACAGGAATATCACAAACTGAGTGCAGACCTTGATTATTAACCTATAAAAAAATATTTAACATTAAATCTTGCACCCCCCGTGTATTACAGTTCAGTGCAGCAGGAGAGATCAGATTCACCAGAGCCCAGCTGTGTGTCCATGAAGAGTGACTGCTCTATGGATCCTCCTCCCAAATTAAAGGGTGGAGAGACACGGCCGAATCTCAGGTGTTACTTTTCATTTCAGAATGCACTAAACATGTAACACTTTGTAATTTGAGTATTGCTTTTATTAATACATTTAATTAAGGTAAATTAAGGTACATTTAAGACTTTTTAAAGACTTTTAAAATTTTCTGCGCGAGGGCCCCCTCAGGCATCCAGTGAGAATGAAACATACATTACATGTGTTCATAGCACTAAATAATGGCCAATCCATAAAAAGAATACTACTTTTTTTTTTAAATAGCATTTAAAAATGGCAAAAAAGAAGTAAACTAAAAACTGAGATATTTATTGAACCGTGGGCTAACTGTATTGTTGCACCCATACTGTTTACTCTGAAATACTGTATAACAGGAATATCACAAACTGAGTGCAGACCTTGATTATTAACCTATAAAAAAATATTTAACATTAAATCTTGCACCCCCCGTGTATTACAGTTCAGTGCAGCAGGAGAGATCAGATTCACCAGAGCCCAGCTGTGTGTCCATGAAGAGTGACTGCTCTATGGATCCTCCTCCCAAATTAAAGGGTGGAGAGACACGGCCGAATCTCAGGTGTTACTTTTCATTTCAGAATGCACTAAACATGTAACACTTTGTAATTTGAGTATTGCTTTTATTAATACATTTAATTAAGGTAAATTAAGGTACATTTAAGACTTTTTAAAGACTTTTAAAAAGGAAATTTAAGGAACACAATCTGTTGTATCAGCGACACTTTAAAGTTGGAAAATAGAACTTCTAACCAATCTCCATTACTTTTTAATTCATTTTCTAAAAAATAGGTTAAAGTTTGTATAGCTCTGCTCCCAACCACTAGAATATAGAAATAACGTTTACTGAACCTTCTGAAAACAATGCAAAAAAGTGACGTTCTTCATCAGTATTTTAGTCGTGTTCCAGTGCAGCTGTCTAAAGATTCTTAAATCAAGATACATTTACTTGAGAAGAAAATAGCATAAGATATGAAGTGTTGTTTCTGTGAAACTGATCAAAATAAAGTGAATTTATGATTAAAAATGAATATCTGTCAGTGGGCTCAGAAAAATCTACTCACTTATAAACATTTATAAGTATAAACGTATAATTTTTTTTTCTGCACAACATCAAAATGTAAAAAGTTGATTTGCTTTTGAAACAACTTTTCAGTTGATGTCACTAAATCCTCTTGTTTGCTGTATTACAGTTCAGTGCAGCAGGAGAGATCAGATTCACCAGAGCCCAGCTGTGTGTCCATGAAGAGTGACTGCTCTATGGATGATGACACACGGCCGAATCTCAGGTGTTACTTTTCATTTCAGTATATACTAATAGTGTAACATTGTGTACATTGTGGTTTATTCATTTATTAAGTATTATTTATTGAGTCATTAGTATAAACATATTTTTCATCAAGTAATTTAGTTAATCGACCTTACTGTATCAATCGTTTATGGCTAAGGTACATAGAAACTGGGCACATTGTTTTTTTTCACCACTTCAAACAATCCATTTTATATTTCTAATGTATTAACAGCAAGTAAACTACCAATTCAAAATATCAAAATATCTTGACTGTTTATCTACTTCATGCTGTTTAAGGCGAATCCTGCGATCCAGACCAGATGAAATAGAACCCATCTGTAAAAAAATGAAATATGATGAGTTTATGAATCAACCACCAGACTTTAATGAAAGCATGGGTCCTGGTGACAGGTAATATTCAAGGTTTTGATGCTGCAAAGATTCATCATATAGTTAATAAATAATTCAAAGGTTTCCCTTCATTAGACTTGTACTGTTTTTATAAATGTACCACTTATGGCACTTTTCCACTGCGTGGTACGACTCGGCTCGGTACGGCTTAGTGCGGCATGGCTCGGTTTGGCTCGGTTTGCGTTTCCACTGCAGTTTAGTACCGCTTTAGAGTGGGCGGGATTATTCACATGTCGTTATAGTTGCGCCGCCTCTACTGCCGCGACTCCTAAAAATCTTTTTAATTTCGCGTCGCCCCATCAAGCTCTCGCTGGATCCGCTCCTCTGCTATCAACGAGAGGAACGTCTGTACTTCCTCAACAGGGGGAACAGCCACTTTTTGGTTGTTAAAAAAAGGTGCGCTCATTCAAAACAGTTGCGTTCGATCCTTCGCTGGCTGTGCTGATCTAGCGGTTCTGTTGTGTTTGTGTCGCAAGTTCAGTGACACAGGTAGTGACGATTCTCTCCGGCCAATACGTGATCAGCAGAGTTTACACTTCACATTTTGGTAACGGTACGGTTCACTTGGAACCCCAACCAAGGTGGTACTAAAAAAAGTACCAGGTACTGTACCCAGTGGAAAACCCCCCAAAAGTAAACCGTACCGGGCCGTACCATGCAGTGGAAAAGCGCCATTAGACTCCTGTAATAATGTGATATTTTAATTTTCCAGTCATGAAGTCCTCAAAACATTTAGATCAAATCTGATGAAGAGGTTTCAGTGTCTTTATGAAGGAACAGCAAAGCAGGGAAACCCAACACTCCTGAATGAGATCTACACCGAGCTCTACATCACAGAGAGTGAGAGTGGAGAGATTTGATGGTCTGGACGAGTGTCGTCTGTCTCTGGATTTTCAGAGCAATGTGAGGTTGTTTGATGTAAGTGAATCAGCCTCAGTGAACGTGCTGCTGATGAACCTCATTGTGGGAAATCTGCTTCCCTCTGCTCTCATCTGGATCACCTCCAGACCAGCAGCAGCTGATCTCGTCCCCTCTGAGTGTGTCCATCGAGTGACAGAGGTACGAGGCTTCAATGAGCCACAGAAGGAGGAATACTTCAAGAAGAGAGTCAGTGATCAGAGTCTGGCCAATACAATCATCTCACACCTGAAGTCATCAAGGAGCCTCTTCATCATGTGCCACATCCCAGTGTTCTGCTGGATCTCAGCCGCTGTTCTGGAGAAGATGTTGAGTCGAGCAGAGAGTGGAGAGATTCCCAAGACTCTCACTCAAATGTACACACACTTCCTGATCCTTCAGACCAACATCAAACATGAGAAGGACTATGAGAAGAACGTGACAGATAAAGACATGATCCTCAAACTGGGCAAACTTGCATACAAACAGCTGGAAAGAGGCAACCTGATCTTCTACGAGGAAGACCTGAGAGAGTGTGGTATTGATGTGACAGAAGCATCAGTGTACTCAGGATTGTGCACTCAGATCTTCAGAGAGGAGTTTGGCTTGTATCAGGGGAAAGTCTTCTGCTTTGTTCATTTGAGCGTTCAGGAACATCTAGCGGCTCTGTATGTGCACCTCTCCTATAAAAACAACCGCTCACAGTTTCTCTATGATGTGTCCTCAGAATTGTCAGAGTTTTTCACATATAATTTATCTGATGTTCATCAGAGAGCTGTGGATAAGACACTACAGAGTAAAAATGGACATCTGGACCTTTTCCTGCGTTTTTTTCTTGGTCTGTCAGTGAAGAATAATCAGATTCTCCTACAAAGATTAATGAAACAGATAAGAAGCAGCTCTGATAGCAATGAGAAAACAGTTGAGTACATTAAGATGAAGATCAGGACCTCTCGATCTCCAGAGAAATCCATCAATCTGTTCCACTGTCTGAATGAACTGGGTGATCATTCACTAGTGAAGCAAATACAACACTATCTGAGATCTGGAAAAATAAAGAAAGTCAAACTTTCTTCATCTCAGTGGTCAGCTGTAGCTTTTGTGTTGTTGACATCAGAGAAGGACCTGGATGAGTTCAGACTGAATGAATTTGTTGGAGCAGAAAATAAAGCTGATCACGTTCTTCAGAAGTTGGTGCCTGTGATTAAAGAATCAAGAAGAGCTGAGTAAGTATCACTAGACTGTTAATATTACACAAATTAAAGGGCTCATATGATGCGTTTTCATGTTCTCCCTTTTTTTTTAGTGTGTTATGTAGCTGTTTGTGCATGTATAAGATTTGCAGTTACAAACCTCAAATTCTCGCATAAAAGAATGCGAGCATGCAAGTGCAGCTCCTATGTCTTTGAATGGGTAAACATCAAATTCTCCAAAACTGTTCACCAAGCTTACGATTAAATTTCATATTTGAACTCACCAATGAAATCTGACAACAACTTTCTCATAAATGTTGTTTCTTATGCTCCAATAGCATTAAAAAAGCTTATTTTTTTTAGGCTAGACCAGCCAGTGCGCATGCGCATTCCTAATTGTGCGTCTCCAGAACGCTGACAATAGCTGTCTCATTTAGAAGGCCGCATCCTCTGAAGGATGCGTATACGGAGTGTTCTCAACCCAGAATTAAACGAGACGGCCTTTGTAGGATGAGCGGAAAAGAAAAAAGGGAGTATCATGTTGCTATGCCAACACATTTATAGTGTCGTTGCACTTTCATGCTAGTTAAATGTACAATACCAGATGGTTAAACAAATTAACAATTACTCGCTTGCTAGCAAAGGACTGTTCTCAACATTTAAAAATCACTAAACTCTTGTAATCCTGTTTACCACATCTACCAACCGAGGGAATACAACTTAAAAAAGAAGAACTTGAAAATACATACATTTAAACGCCACATCTTCGCTTTTGTGTACCGTTACATCTGCTGGTGCCAGATTTTTTTTAACTTCAAATAACGACGCAAAGAATTGTGGGTTATCTGTAGCAGCGAAGGATACACCTCATGCATCAAGTGTCCTACTTGCTTTTCTGAAATGAGACAGCCTAGATGACGAATGCCTTCCTAAGCCTTGGAATGATGGTGCGTTCAAGTCATGTCAGATAAATCGTATTTACGAGTTGAACGCACATGAACGCCACCACAGAGTCGTTATTACGAGTGGGAAACTCAAAATTTTCTTTAAGCCCCGAGTTTCCGAGTTGAAGGCGTGTATGTGAGAAAATGTGTCGGATGCAATGGACGCATCCAAAGACTAGATATGCAACATCTGTATTGATGGTAAATTTGTTGAAATTAATAAAATGATTAATTTTTTTTGTAATGTAAAATAAAACTATGTTACATATACAAAATATTATACTATTGTATAATTACCAAAGAACATATGATTCAATTTACATCACCTTCATAAATTGAATAAAAACAGAAAAAAGCAAAAACACAATGACGCACATTCTTTATTCATCATTTTGTAGATGTAAAGTTTAAAAAATCGTTGAATTTTATGGAAAAAAAGTAAAATCTCCATATTGTTCCGAGCAAAGTGACTTGAACGCACCTGACGTCGTTATTACGATTTGTCAACTCGTAAGTACGAACGTCCCAGGAGGACTTGAACGCAGCATGAGACACAGCTTATTTCTATAGCAACCGGGACTTCTAAGGGCAGCTGCAGTGACATGATGTCTTTACCGATTAGCGATTGGCTCTTTTACTCAGAAGGCAGGCAGGGGCGTAGATTACGCGGGGGACATGTCCCCCCCACTTTTAATATCACGGAAATTCGTCCCCCGCACTTTTTCGGGCAAGTGTGTTTGAATAGAGGTTTTCAAGAGCCGGTGTGAATAAATATAGATTTAAATTCAAAGAGACAGGATAGTCTGTGCATGATCTGATGTTTTATTCGGACCCAGAATAATGCGAGATGAACATCACGGAGCACTAAACACTCAAAATTGTATGTTTCATTCATGCTCTCACGCACAAAGTCGTACGAGGAAATCCCTAATATGGACAAAAGCGTCCAGCTATCGCTGTATGAAAACAGTTGTTTTAAAAAAAACTGAAACGTTTGGAAACATGAAGACATTTAAACATACGATTGCAACAATATATGGTTTATTTGTGTTTGTCAAGTCATCTCCAGGTAATAAATAAAGTATTTTTTATATGCAGTGCTAACTGACATAGCATTTATTACAGTATTGAAACTATTCTGCCTTATTATTATTATGTGATAAAAAAGTGTTTGTATTATATAAACAAATCATTATTATTGGTTATTGTCCAGCAGTTATCTGATTTCTAAGCCAATTAAAAGCTAGAAATTACAGAACAATTAAAGTTGACGATACACTACCAGTCAAAAGTTTTTGAACAGTAAGATTTTTCATGTTTTTTAAAGAAGTCTCTTATGTTCACCAAGCCTGCATTTATTTGATCCAAAGTACAGCAAAACAGTAACATTTTGAAATATTTTTACTAGGCTATTTCAAATAACTTTTCTATTTGAATAAATTTTAAAATGTAATTTTATTGTGATTTCAAAGCTACAATTTCAGCATCATTACGCCAGTCTTCAGTGTCACATGATCCTTCAGAAATCATTCTGATATTCTGATTTGCTCCTCAAGAAACATTTATTATTATTATTATTATTATGAGGTTGAAAACAGCTGAGTAGAATTTTTTCAGGTTTCTTTGATGAATAGAAAGTTCAGAAGAACAGCATTAATCTGAAATAGAAATCTTTTATAACATTATAAATGTCTTTATCATCACTTTTGATCAATTTAAAGCACCCTTGCTAAATAAGTGTTCATTTCTATAATTTCTTTTCCAAAAAAATAAAAATTATACTGACTCTAAGCTTTTGAATGGTATAGTGTATAATGTTACAAAAGCTTTTTATTTCACATAAATGCTAATCTTTGGATCTTTCTATTCATCAAAGAATCCTGAAAAAAATTACTCAGCTGTTTTAAATATTGATAATAATAATAATTTAAAAAAGGTTTCTTGAGCAGCAAATCAGCATATTAGAATGATTTCTGAAGGATGTGACACTGAAGACTGGAGTAATGATGCTGAAAATTCAGCTTTGATCACACGAATCATTTAAAAATATATTCAAATAGAAAGCAGTTTTTTTAAATAGTAAAAATATTTCACAACATTACTGTTTTTGCTGTACTTTGGATCAAATAAATGCAGGCTTGATGAACATAAGAGACATAAAACATAAAAAATCTTACTGATCAAAAACTGTTGACTGGTTTGTTATACAGATTACAGAAATGTTTTATATATATATATATATATAAATATATAATATATAACCTTTCTGTCCCCCTCACTTCTGAAATGATGGCTACTCCCCTGGGCCATTGCATTCATAAGCTCAACAGAATCGTGTGTGATTGGTTATAATGCAGCACAAATGCGTCTGTTTCTGGCTCAGCGCAAACAGATTTGAATTTAGCAGCTGATGCTGTGCCGCACTGAACGATCTAATCATACCTGTGTGATTGTATCAAATATAAAAAATATTATTTGGCTATTTTTTGTCTTTTGTAAGCTGCATTCAAAATGCACTTGGTTCAATGCCCCCTCACTTTGAATGGGCATGACGTCTCTACTCATCCCAGTAGCACGGCTAGCTTCCGATAGTAATGAGCACTGAGTCACCACTTCTATCTTAAAGGGGTCCTATTATGCGTTTTCACTTTTTGAATTTTAGTCAGTGTGTTGTGTATGTTTGGGCATAAAAAAGATCTTCAAATTTACAAATCTCAAAGTCCACTCCAAAGGGAGAAATTTCGTTTTTTAAAAAACCCTTTTCAAGAACTACAACGAACGGCTCGTTTGTACTACAGCATTTGTTTTCCGGGTTTTGTGATGTCACAAAGTGGCCCATTAGAATATCATTAAAATAATTCCCGCCTACGGAAATTCGAATGGTTGGGGGGTGGGGAGGGCGAGGTCGTGGTTAGAACGCTTGGTTGAGTGCATCAGACGA